TGAGTGAATTTAAAAAAAAAGAAATTGCCAACAGTACACGGTGTTCCCAAACGGTCACCCATTTAAGTACTAACCGCGCTCAACGTTGCTTAACTGAAGTGATCGGACGAGAACTTGTGCTTTGAACGTTTTTTTTTTTTTTCGAAAGTTGTTTATTACAATAGACCAATACAAATTATCGGATTAAAGACAATACAATAAACAGAATTCGCCGTATAAAGAAACATAATATTGTACTCGACGGTCCCTGGGGACACTCGCAAGACGGTTGGTTATACAATTTTCTAAGTGATAAAAACGGATTAGCCTTGTTTGTCGCATCGGGCTTATAATATGAGGGATATATTATATTGAATTATTAGGATAAGCGGAAAAAAATGGTCCAGTCAAAAAACGCTATTACATATTTGGACTTTAAGCTTTAAAGTATAACAAAAATAAACTATACATAAGAAGAAAACAAAAAAAAACAACGCAAAGAAATAGAGGGGGAGGCTCAGACTTATTTATTATCACATCGCCACCAGTATTTTTCCTGGTTTGACAGTAAGTATTTATCCTTTATATCCTTATCTGGAATATCTAAGTTATATGTTAGTTTTGTATTTATATCGCCGCTATCAATATTAGGGGGAAAAGTAATAATTTTTTTGTTCTTACGTCTAGGAATATGATATATTATTGGAACCATCCTTTTGTCTTGAATGAAACCTTGACTATCTAGAAAAGGGAAAGCCTCAGGAGGCACGAATCCTGTTTCTAGGGTATTTCTTATATACATTTCGTCCGCATAAGGAATTGGGAAAATTAAACTATTCTCTGAGATCTTCGAGGTATCGGCAAAGTAGTTTCTAATTATTTTTATGATAAAGTTATCTATTCTATGCACATTTGCTAGATTATATATTATTTTATTTTTTAGATATTTTTGATAATTAGTTTCGCTGGATCTATATTTACCGAGGCATGCCCTCAAACATTTTCTTTCGAAGACTCTGATTTGTTCCATTTGTGACGCGCTTATATTGTACCATATTTGGCAGCCGTATGTTATTATGGGGCGTATAAGCGTTTGGAAGCAAATAATTTTTACTTTACTGTTCAAGATCTTTGAATAGAAAAGTCTACCTAGACCTATGAAGGTTTTTTTGGCTTTCGTGAGCTGTGTATCCACATGTTTATCAAATAGGAGTCTTTCATCGAGGTGAATTCCTAGGTATTTGACTACATTTTTATGACAGATTTGTTTATTATCATAATTAGTGGAAATCAAATTGAATTTTTTGTATTGCTTAGTAATAGGGTACTTAGCTTTCTTTATAGAGGGCCTAAATAGGATAGTCTCACATTTATTTACATTAACTCTGAGTTTCCAGGTACTATAGTAATCGAAGATCTTATCAATTGCTGCTTGTAGCGTATGCTTTATTGTTTCAGGTTTCCTGTTCGCGAAGTAGACAATCAAGTCGTCGGCGTACGCAAGTAATGTACATTTTGTGTTGCTAGGGCCATAAAGACGGAGGAGTTCAGCTGTATATAAGTTGAACAACAAAGGTGAGTTTATTGTACCCTGCTGAAGCCCATTTTGTAGTGTGTATTTTTTTTTGGAATTCAGGTTAAAATGGGTGAGCACAAACGATCTATTTTTTATCATGTTCCAGATGAGTTTAATTAGTACTACAGGGACTTTTCTCTTTATCAATCTGAAGATTAGACCTTCGTGCCAGACTGTATCGAAAGCTTTTTCTAGATCTACCATACAGGCCCCAAGGCAATCGTCGTTATTCAAGGCCCAATTAACATCGGAAACCAACTTGTTAATTGCATGAATGGTGGAGTGACGGGCTCGGAAGCCAAATTGGTTTTCTGGGAGTAAGTTATTTTTGGTACAAAACGAAGTGATAATATCATTTATGATCATTTCATATATTTTACCTATATTTGGGAGTAAACTGATGGGCCTATAGCTTCCTAGTAACTCTTTATCTTTATCTTTTTTTGGAATTGCAAGAACTTTAGCTTCTTTCCATCTTTGAGGGAAGTATGAGTGATTGATCATGTTATTAAACAGGATTGTATACAAATATATTATTTTTGGTGGAATGTGCTTTAAGGCAATGTTAGGAATATTATCTAAACCTGAAGATTTTTTATTGTTAAGATATTTGAATTTCTTTGATACTATAGTTGAATTTGTGAAGTAATGAGATAATGAACAGGGTGTTTGGACTGAGGGCCCTTCAGCTATATTATCATCATTGAATGAGCAAAAGGTGTGATTGTTTATATTATCTGACTCCATTTCATCTCTTAACAAGCCGGTTTCTTTTAGGATGATTTCGTTTAGCCTGGGTTTACCTAAATTATCATTTTGATTGTTGATTGTGGCAAAATGTGAGCCCAGGATATCTAGCTTCTGTTCTGCATCTTGAATTAGATAGCTGTTATTAGAGTCTCTTGACAATTTCTTTATGTTGATGTTCGCCAGTTCTAATAATTGTTTTTCTTTTTCAGGTATCCGAAGACAGGGAATTTCTAGCTGGTTCTTATGACGGAACATCCTATTGATTTCTGGGAATAGTTTTTTAGGATCCGAATGTGTGATGTTTCCCACTCTCTTTTCCCAGTAAAAGTTCATGGAAGCGGTTATTTCATGTCTAAGTTCTATCTTTAGGTCCTTAAGTAAAGATTTTAGAAGTTTGATTTCCGTGTTTATGGGCCTAAATTTCCTTTCCCAACGATGAATTAGAGAGACAATGAAATTTTTCTGTTTTTGTAACTTTTTAATTTTTGAGTTCATGTATTTATCAACAGAATTCGTGTTTTTGACTTGGGGTATTGATGCATTCATTGCACTTTTTATGCTTGTTTCTAGCTCCATTATGTATTCATCTATTTCTTTGATACTTAGATTTCTATTATTAGGTATAACTAATTTGTCCAACGAGAGTAATTCTTGGAACTTGTCCCAATCAGCTTTGTTATAGTTTAGGTTTTGTTTTATTTCAGAGTTAAATTCCAATTCATCGCTAAGAAAAGAGACCTGAAAGGAGATTGCCCGGTGGTCACTGTCTATAGCCAGTGTATTCAAGCTTCCTGCTCTATTTGTTTGAAGGTCTAACCTAGTATCGGCTAAAACTAAATCTATATAAGACCCCCCCCTTGGATATGAAGGTGAGTCCGTATTGTACATTTTTACCTTGTATAAGATATCGTTATCATTCAGCCAATTTCGTAAACTAATTCCTCTTTCGTTACAGTCTGTATTTGCCCAATCTGTGTGTTTCGCATTAAAATCGCCTGCCACCAAGTAGAAGTTGGATGAGTTTTCTAATGAAAGAGAAGAGAAAAGACGAGTCAATTCCGATCCAAAGTCACTCTGTTTGCCCTTTTTTGCATATAAGGAAACTACTACGAGGTTGCCATTTCTGAGTTTGATATTGATTACTGTATTTTCGATAATCCTGTTGTTGTTATTCAAATAAATTTGTGAGTATTTGATATCATTCTTAATAATCACTGCTGTACCTCCTCCCCCCTTATTGCCCTCTCTATCTACCCTAATAACTTTATAGTTCTCGAGAAAAAATGTGTGTCTCTTATTTAGTTTTGTTTCATTTATGAGCATTATGTCAGGCTTGTGATGTTTTATAAAATTCAGTATTTGAATTCTTTTATAGTTACTTATTTTATAGTTACTACAATTCGGAATATCTTTTATAGTTACTTATTATAGAGTTTACATTAGCCACTATAACTTTATATTTAGAGTTGTTTGCTATATTGTTCATAATTAGTCGTTTTTGTCAATGAGTTTCACTATTAGATTCATAAGAGTCTCTATTCTGTTAAATATTATTTCAATACTGTTTTCGAGTTTATCTAGTCTAGCTTGTAATTGTGGGGTGAACTGTCTCGAATCAATATTTTCTCTTGTGAACTTTTCCTTATCATTCGCGTTATTATCTGTTTGTTTATATGGGATCTCGCGCTTTCTCTCACCTTCTTTAACTGCCTCCGCAAATGATCTCTCTGGTCTAACTGTTTTCCTAATATAATCTAGCTTATTTAGTTTGTGCTTTGAACGTGATTTGACCGTTGACGAACGTTGTCGATCTTGGAAGAAAGCATAAGTCAACGTTATTGTAATTTAATTATTAATAAGACGCATATTTATAAATCAACGATTTTTATAATTATGCGTCGGATAAGAATTTGTATGTTCAACGTGATTTTACCGTCAAGTAACTTGAAGGTCACGTGAAA